TTTCTACCATAGTAGTGATTTTATGTCAAGTTTATAATGTTTTAAGGTTTAGGGTTTTACACCCTTGACATCATCAAACCTCTTTCTTGCCTCAACATGCCACGTGGCGAAATCTCATGGAAAGAAAGGGAGAAAATTAGATCTTGACCCTTGGATCAAACTTGAACTCCAAGTTTCTTCCTAATTTACTTGACTCACATTTATCTGGCTTTTTTAATGGCTTTCTGGAGCTTAGAAAATTCTTCTGTCTGCTCCATAAACTTCCTTTAATTATAGGAAAATTCTATGAATTTTCTTGGGCCATAACTCTTCCTTTTTGAATTTCCCGAAAAATTTCTCTTAGGGGCATAATTGGACTTTATATTTTATTAAAGCCACTCTACTGGCTTTTTGGGGAGGAAACTAATTTTATAAACTTCTTTAGCCCCTTTACTATTTATTTCTCATTTTTATATACATTTTTCAGGCCTCTTCATAGCTCAAATTGAGCCATCATACTAAAAATTTCATTTAAGTTATTGTAGGGGTATTTTCATCAGTTATCTTCATCAAAAGGCCTCTATACACTATTTCCCATTTTCTAGGATTTTCATGAAATTTTCTGTATACTTTTCATCATTACCCCTATTGGCCTGTAATTTTTTAAAATTATAGTTTTACCTTTACTTTGGCTTAACCTCATAAATCATCACTTTGAGGTCTCAACCTCAATCTTAGGCTTATATCTAATCTCTTTTCTCTTTCTGAGCCCTCAAAACTTTACCAGAATATCTAACTTTAATTACACTTTAGCCCCTAAAGCCTTCTTAGTTCCCACAACAAAGCCGCTAGTAGTATCTTAGATAAAAATATCATTGTCTCTCTTCGTGATATTTTTCAAAAAAAAATTTCACCTTATTTAGGCTACTTTTTGAGCTTCTAAACCTAAAACTTAGAATGTGACAACTTTCACCCATGTAGGTAGAACCTTCAACTTTATTCACGAGCTACCCTTGTTTATATACAATCTTATGATCTTTTCCTGTGAGGAAAAGAGCTGTTTCAGAGAAGCCGTTCCCCCACTCAACTGAGGAAAGGTGGTTTCTATTTCCTTTTATTCCCAAGGCTACTGATTGTATTCAAGAGTTTAGTGAAGCTGTGAAGATTCATGGGTCCGCAGTGAAGATTGGGCTTGTATTTGATACTTATGTTTATAACTTGCTGTTGAGAATGTATGCTGAATAGATATTTTTTTGAAGACTAATGGAAGTTAAGTCTTGTGGAAGAAACTAGTCACTGATAAGGTGACGAATTAAGGCTCAAATCCTCACTAGGAGAAATATTTACATTTAGTATACTGACAGTGCCTCGAATAAAATTTTCTTGCCTCTAGCAGAAGGATGTCTATATAACATGCAGCAAAAAAAAAAAAGTTATTTGAAAATATGCACGAGAAAAATAAGGTTTCTGGGAATATTATAATTACATGAAAAGTGCAGGTGATTCAAAGCGGCCATTTCTTTCTTTGTTTATTTTCCCCCCAGCAGATGCTAGGATAAAGCAATGAGAAGCCAAATGAAGGTACAGTAGTTAGCACTCTCTCGGCCCCTGTACTTATCATCGGCGACTTTGAACTCAACTCACGGTCTTGTCTAAAATTACAGTGACGTGTTAAGTCGAGAAGCTCTCTTGCAATGCTTCCAACAAGCCTAGGACTAAGAAAATGCTGTGATGAAAGCTAGGAAAATGGAAGGAGAGGAAGAAGATTTACTTTGACTTTGAATTTATTCAGTGATGTCACTTAAGAAAAATCCTATCAGATCTTGATTTGATGTCATCCGGTGAACTCATTGGTCTTGTCCATTCATCCCTCAATCTTGTGTGTGACGCCATTTTAGAGAGGAAAAGGTTGATCTCTATATGACATCCAATGCCACTCGTCACATATAATCCAAAATTTTGGCTTTCATGACCTAAATCCTTAACATCAATTAATTAGGCATGAGAAGAGCATTAAATAGCTGACATAGAAGCTAATAAGGCTGCATATATAAGGAAGCCTCATCACACGATTAAGTAACTTGTCTTGCTACAATCACACAAATAATTTTATAATAATTTCTTTTGCTCATTTCCCCTTCATAACTTTCGTGTAATGGCTTTACAAAATCCTCTTCCATGTCAGATAGCTCCTCAAAAATTTACAAGACAAAATTTGACTTATAAATGAGAAGCATCAAAGTAGATAAATTTATTTCAAGAGATGCAAATGAGAAGAATCAAAGCAGATAAATTTATTTTTCTTTTTTGCTAAAACATAGGTATCTTCTTATTAGAGGTAATTCTATTCGAGATACTGTCAGACACTAAATGTGAATACCTCTCCCAACGAGGATTCAAATATTGGTTTGTCACGTTGTGAGGAACTAATTCATTCTGCTAAATCCAACCCCTGTTGGTAAGCGGATAAATTTATTAAGCAAGGCAAAAGGGTTCATGATTACATAGATGGAAACAAAATGGGAGTGGAGACGTTGTAGTTAGTACTGCTCTTCCTGAAATGTATGCAAAATGAGGTTTTCATTGGGAAATCTTTTTAGATTTTCTATGCATCAAGGGAAAGGGATACAACCACATGGACTTCTAGCTATGAATGGTGAGACAAGCAAAGAACTTGAAAGATCTTTTATTCCCTGAAAAGAGCGTATCAAATAGAGCCAAAAGAGAAACACTACGAGTGTTTCATTGATCTTCTTGGTCGAGCTGGACTGTTCCATGAAACAGAGGAGTTAATTTGGAAGTTACAAGATCAAAACAATGAGATGGTAATTTCACTTTATGGAGCTCTGCTTAGTGCCCACACATTTTATGGCAATATTGAAATGGGTAAAAGAATAATCTGCGTACAGTTCTAGCCAACATTTATGCTTCTGCTGACAGATGGGAAGATGTGAGCAAGGTCATAAAGAAGATGAAATATTTGGGAATCAGAAAATTTCTTGGACCTAGTAGTGCCATAGAGGTGAATGGTATTCTCCATGAATTTCTTGTTCGTGACCCATCTCACCCAGAAATTTTCTCAAATGTGAAATTGTGATTGAGGAATATCAATTTCCTGTTAAACTTAAGATTACAGCAGATTTAAAAAGTTGGATTAAGGTGCAAATTTACCTCTGGGTATCTAGTTTTTTTGGGAGTAAATTTGCTCTGAAAGTTTAAAATCGTAACATTACCCCATACAAATAAAATGTTAACTGTCAACGTCACAATTTTAACAATCACTGTTAGTCTTTTAACTGCAGGAGGCAATATTACTATAATTTTAAACTTTCACAACAAACTTGCTCTCAAAATTTTTTTTTGATATCCAGCACTCCTAAGTGAAAACTTTCTGGGCAAAAGCTCCAAAAGGTACTCACTATGTTTTTAACCATGCGTAGCCAACCTGCCACAGAAGCACATATTGAACCCAATTTTAAAATCCTCTCCAGGAAGACGTGCGAAATGTCCAGGAGTGAAATTTTGCGTAATCAAGGTGAATGTTAGTTGTGGATGAGTTTGTGAATCTGACATATGTTTGTTCAGATTTGGAGTAAATTTGACCATCAAAACTTCATGAAACAACTAATCAATGTGAACCTGAGACGTTTCAACTAAGGCAACATTGTTGATTGACGAGCATACTCTAAATCTAGCAATCCATTCTACTCATGAGAAGGACATGAGACCAGATATTAGCTTCATCTCAAAACTTCTTCCTTGGATTAAACTTTTTTTAACTTTTGTGAATTAATTAAATGTTTTATATTAATAATGGTGTATGCATGCTTTCTGGTTATCGCTCCTCTGACTTAACAATATACTCTTCCTTCAGTCTTAAATGTAAGATCTATTTTATAGTGGATCTTACATTTAAGATCAAAATAGTATTGAAGTCCAATAATTTCTTTTCCACGGTTTTGAATTGTAAAAAACTAAAAATACAACTTATCTTCTTAGACTCGGACCTAACTCCAACTTCGAACGTGAAAAAGTAAAATGCATCTTTTTCCTTCAAGCAATTAATATAATATTGATTATTCCAAAAAGAAAAAAAAAAAAAACCTCCACGTGCCGTAATTGTTCTGAAAATGCTCAAACCAAATACTTAGAAAACTAACCAAAACATAAAATCTTCCTTACATTGCTCTTTACAGCTTAAAAGTATATATCATATAGGCATAGAGGCTCTAGTGTAAAGGGAAGGGGATGGATCCAATAAGCTTGCAAGTGACTCAGTGAAACACTGACCCATGGCTCCTAAATGGAGAAGGAACGAATTTTGAAGTTGGAGCTACATGAGTATAAAAACTAGACAAGACTTTCATGCTAAGATTTCCATGTGATAAATGAAATTTGTACATAAGAGTGGGCATAAGAATTTTTCATTTTCAAGTGAGCAAGCGAATCGCTTGCTGGGGGTTCGAATCCACAACCTACATCACAAAGGATAATCTAAGTACCACTAGGCCACAAGGGCTCTGGCACTGAAATTTTTTTTACGTTTTTAGTGTGCATAAAGAATTGCGCATTAGAGAACATTATTATCAACCACTTCTTACAAAGTACATTACATAGATACTCCTTGAATCTTGTTCAAGTCATAAAAACATCCTCTTCAATGCAAGAAATCAGAAAGGCCTCTTAAAAATAGAGATTAGCAATTTTCATCTGAATTCGCATTAAAAAAAATTCCAAGACATTCCTTATATAAAATTATTGACTTTGGAGATATAGTAATATGGAAAAAACAAAATTGTTTCAAGCATTAACAAAACCAAAAGCACCCTACTGGGAGTATTGATCCAATTCAAAAAGCTTATGTTTTTGTGATTTCATAATTCAATTTGTCAATTTCAAATTGATTCTTTTTTAATACAAATTACAATAATGTATATTATTCCTCCAATTGTTCCTTGAGCGGTAAAGGGTTAAACCTTTTTGAGATAGTACAAGTTTCCCTTCTAGCTTGACCATACTAGCACCAACATGGCAATGCTCGGCAATTCCTGAATTAGAATCATACAAGGTTTTTTTTGTTTTTAAATTTTAAACAACAATCATACAACTGTTTTAAATTAGAAAATATCAGACTACTTCCTTCCCCTGTTAAGCCTCTGCAGTTGATAATTGATACTTCCCCAGGCGTTTCTGTTCTTTTTACTCTGAAACAAAGAAGAGCGAATAATTTTTCCCACTCCTTTGTTCTCCTATACTATGATATGTGTGTGCGCGTGTGGGAAAAATTAAAGATACAAAAAAGAAGGGGTGAGAAAGAGAATGAATGAACATGCTTTCATGATAACAAAATATTATATTACCTGTGAATCCAAACAGGTCTTTAATAAATCCTTCTGCTTAGTACACACATCACTGTTGCCTTGGTTAACAGCCATGCAGCTGAGAAAAGTCATCATTTCCTTCATGCAAGGTTTATGAAGTGAACCATATCTCTTAGGGTTAATATAAAGTCCACCAGCTTTCCGCCCCATTATCCTAAAGTTCAAACACAGCAATCCACCATGAAAATGACAATAATTAAGATTTACAAAGCAAGAAATGTGTAAGCGTGAAAATTTTAAGGAAAAAAAATCACAAATGGTAACATCAACTCATTTAAATAAATCTAATCCTCACTTCTCATGTGATCAATACGGAATATTAATTCCACATGGGGAACAATCATCCATTGACTAGATTATGCCCATTGATGTAACTGATTAATAGTTGATTTGAATGAACTTCCCCCTTTTGATTTGTGTGTGTGTGTGTGTGTGTGAGAGAGAGAGAGAGAGAGAGAGAGCCATGGCCGCCTTTCTTTCTTTTCCCTTCTATGTCTAGAGTCCACGTCATCAATTAAAATATAACATCCGCGAGCAAAATTTTAAAATGCGGTTCTGATGCGTTCAATATGATACAATAAAACGAGACCCATCTGGGGACTGGGGTATTCGTATCAGTTACAATAAATAAAAACTTTATATAAATTAAAGTGTGATTTTAAGACTTTAATCCATAACCACACCTCTGCATTCAGTTTCTTATCTGGGTGTACGCAGGCACGGGGAGGAGGAGGATAGGATACCATCAAACACTATGGGTCATCGTTCACTCAACAAGACAGCTTCTAAATCCACCTAGGAGAAAAGTACAAAACTTGATTGATTTTTTCTTCTTCTTTAAATGAATCATTTGAACTAAGGAAGTTAGAAATTTCTCATAAAAAGGTTATAGAAAAGATAAAAGGCAATCATATTAATAAACTAAGTAACAAAAATGGGGACTCCTGGGGTATTATAAAATATAAAGGGGCACCTCAATCATAACCCTGCAGCAGCTTCACCGATAGGCATAAAACTTGTTTGGATTAATGCAACATGAAAATAAAGCAGGTATTGGCAGGGATAACTGGGATATATATGCTCAAGATGCTGCTACCCCACCATATTTTTCCGTCCTCTGCTTTAGTATATATAGTAAATATGCTTATCTTAGCATTTCTGTCCATGCATGCAATTGCACAATCAAGGTTAGCATCATGTACCATTCTGATTATGCATTAGCCGATATAACGCTTTCTCACTATAGTTATAACCAATTAAAAACCAGCATCAAAACCATAGGAAGAGCAAGCAGTAACAAAAGACAATGCTGTCAAGAAAGAGGCCAATGAGTGCACAAGGATCAGAGAAATTGCGAGACTATGAAGCAAGATAGTTTAATTGAGATCCCGTTCCAAGTAGTTTAAGGCTTCCATTCTAAATCTCTTAAATATAACGCAGAAATTTTCCCAAGCATAGAAGAGAATGCAGATTAGATGAGAAAGTTACAGCTGCTTCACCCAAAGAAGATGCTGGTTTTCGTATAAAAGAAAATAGTTGATAATGACAAATTTCAATACAAATACTTCGAATAGCCATGAAAGGAACACAAGAAGCTTAGAGGGAAACACAGATGAAGGAGAAATAAGCTCACACACATAATAAAGACAGCAACTTCCCCACCGAACTAAACTAGATGAAGAATAAAAAGGGTGACGAAGAAAGATAGAATCCTGAGAGTAAAAGAGGAGACCAGCGAGGAAGATGAAGGTTGAGAGGGAAACAGTATCTCACCAAAGACAATGAAGACGAAGCTCAGAATTAGTGAGAGCGCCGAGCAACCGAGTGAAGTGGGAAACGGGGACGACGAGAACCCGCGAGCAGAGAGAGAGAGAGAGAAAGAGAGTGACTGTGTGAGGGAGGAGGGAGGAGGGAGGAGGGAGGCGGGAGGAGCGAGAGAGGCTACAGCGAGAGTTCTGTGTGATGCGAACGGGCGGGCCCCTGGCTGAAACCTAATGCCGGATAATTACAAATTTGCCATTAATAAAATTTTTCTTTTAATTTTTTTTGGGTGATACAGAGATACTCCGCCCATCCGAAATTTAATATAAAACTAAGTTGACTAATTTAAAAAAATTAAAAAAATTTTAAATTACTTAATTATAGCATATGTTACATGATCTATTTAAAATATTTATATGTATTATTATATTTATAAGTAAGGCAAATTAGTTTAGAGAAAAACAATAAATATAAATATTTTAAAATAATTTAGTAATTTTTTAATCTTTCTAAATTATTATACTAATTCTTATATTAAAAGTCGAAGATAGTACTAAAAATAAAATTTAAAATGAAATAAAGCTTCTTGGTAGCTCAAATCCATTCATATCTTACAAGGCCAACAACTTCTCCCGAAGGACATTGCCACATAGTCCATCTATTTTCCTGTGGAAAGCTGATTTTGGCTAACATGTCAGTACATCTATTCCCTTCCTTGTAAATATCTTTATCTCAACAATCTAATTTCTTTGCAGCAGCTCTTGAATTCGCCTGAATAGTCCTTGGCAGACGTACAAGTCTTTATTTTGATGTATTGACTCTATTAGCTTGGAAGAGTCACTTTCTACTTCAATCTATCTAAACCGTACCCCATCTACCAACACAATAATAGTCACTACTACAAAATGAAAAATACTCGACGGTTATTTTGGATCATATTTGACGGTTAAAAACTGTCAACTATACTAGCGTCATATATTTCAACAGCAAATATTTGACGGTTATTAACCGTCAAATATTTAAATCATACTTGACGGTTACTAGAGAAAAACCGCCAATTATTTTGAGATTATACTTGACGGTTCCAAAAAACGTCAAGTATTCTGTAATACTTGACGGTTCCAACTAATAACCGTCAAGTATTATTGGTTTTTTTTTTTTAAATTCGTTCTCCTTTGCCAGCAACCCCCTGCAATTTTGAAACCGATAACAAAGGCTCATTCAACAGAATCATGCAGGCCAGCATTCAAACCAATTCAGCCATATACATATATCTTAATGAATCGAAAATAATTTACATTATCATATATATACATGAACCAATGAAAACCAACTGTGATATATTAAAATTCTGGCAAGTACAAAAGGTGAACCAATTCCAAAATTAGCCAATTGCCAAAGTTGTACAATGCCTAAAACTAACCAACAGCCAAAAATGAACCAAAACCAAAATTATATTGAAACCAAAGCTAGCTATACGTACATACAATGTCTTAATGTACACTTTCCTATCTATGTTGTGCCCACTGACGGAATAAGGCCATCGCCAACTCCTCAACGATTTCTTCCATCTGAGTAGATGAATACACTGTGCAATATGTGTCGGCAAAGTACTGTATGCAACCACAAATTATGACTTAAGTTAGATAGAAATGTAAAGCTACAGTAAGTACAATAATTCTTAAATATATAAATTGAACCTTAACAAATGCATATTACCTGCGTGGGAATTGTGTCAGCATTGTGCAGAATTATCTCCTTCATAAATTTCATCACGCAATATCCACAATGGGAGCTCTTGTTGGGCTGACGTGGGCACTGTAAAGAATGGAAAAGGAAATAATATTAGTCAATCATATAAATAAACCATATTTAGTAGAATAGTAAATAATGGTAGTGAATACCTTCACTTTCTTCCACGGGAAGGTATCGTCAAATTGGCCGTTTTTTACCGGGGGCAGGGTAAGGCCTGATTTGTGCGGTATAGCCACAAAGCCCTGAGAAGACAATAAAATTGAATATTAATGATTGTCAAAAATTTGATTGAAGCAAGAAATTAAATTAAATTTAAATAATAGAGATAAATATTACTTGTTGAATAATGAAACCATAAATGGTCGATTGGTTGGATCCCCATGAAGAGAATCAAGATACCAAATCCTCGGCTTTGTGGGATTGACCACAATTAGCATCCAGTGTCCCCTAAGTATAAGAAAGACAATTAGAACTATTACAAATTATTTTGAAAATAAAAGAATTTAGGAAAGTTTACCCTTGACAATAAGGCGCTAAAAACAAAGTCTGAGCCCCCGGTGTTGCCCTAGAAATGTAGATATCCAACAAGTCTCTGGATAAGTCTTTCTTCATATTAGGTCCGTGGCCAGCAAAAGTGTGGGGGCTGATAATCTTGAACTTGTCATCAAGGCCACCTGTAACATCCTGAGTTTTATCGGGTTTTAATAGCCTCTTTTGGGTTGATTTTGAGGATAGATTAGTGATTTAATCTTGATCTTGGTGTTTGGGTTGGATTTGAGGTTTGTTAGAGGAATAGGTGAACGTACCCCTCTCAGGGTATGTTCGCCGCGGCGCGGGAGTTTCAGAGGGGAGTGTCTTCTCGGGAAGGTTTGGCCGCGGCGAAGTCTAGGGGACACCGCGGCGAAGTTGTTCAGGTGAGTGAGGCTTCCCTTTCAGGAAGCTTTCGCCGCGGCGAAGTCAGGTTTTCAGGCGAGTAATCCCTCTCGGGATTAGTTCGCCGCGGCGAAAGGTCGCGAATCTATATATTCGCGGGAGCAGTTCAGCATGCGAAAAATAAGAAAATCTGAGGTAGAGAGAGAGGCTCTGCTAGGGTTTCGGTATTTTGGCTTGGAGGGGGCATTTCTAAGGATCCATTACCTCAAGTAAGTGATTTTAACCTCTAATCTTCTTTCTTTATTGGAATTTCTTGGAATTTCTGAGGATTTTTGGTGGAACCCTAGGATTTTCTAAGTTGTGATGGAATTGAGGTTTTTGACCGATTGTTTTGAGTTTAATTGATTGCTTGGGGTTAGTTTAAGTATTTAATCGGTGTAGTTTCCTTGGATTTAAAGAATCTTGAATTTTTGGAGTTAGGGTTTATGGAGATAGATGATTTGGGATTGAGGATGATAATGTAGAGATTGATTTTGAGTTTTGTGAATTGGGTTATGTTAAGGAGGGTTAAATTGGATGTTTAATCGGTTTAGATTTGTTGTTGGAACCTTAATTGCTCAAATGGGATGTTGGAGGTTGAATTCCTATAGTGGGTCCTTGAGGTTTGAACTCTAATTGATGTTTGGAAAGGAATTAAGGTTTTAATGGGTTAGTATGACTTTGGAGTGTTGCCTTGATAGTTATACCTTTGAGTTGAGTAGAGTTTTGATGGGAGATAGGAATTTTGTGTCCCCAAGTGTTGTTTTGGCCACATTATTAGTTTGAAAGCTAATATATGATGGTTGTGTGTTTGTGTGCTTATGTAGACCGGTTGTGAGTCGTGGTGGTGCACGGGGCCACATTGTCGGTTTGTTATTCCTTGCTCAGGCGAGAGGTAACCACTTTCCAATCCTTAGTACTTGCTTCTGTGGTTTTGTGAGTAGATTTATGTTTTGTGCTCTAAGTAGTAATTATGTTCAAACTGTATGTTGTGTATAAAGAGGAAAACCGTCTTGTGGGGTTTCGACTAATGATGAATGAATTTTGGAATTGTGAAAGATATGCCACTGAATGAGGTTAATTGTGAAATGATTATTACTTTGTGATTACGATTTGAGCATGATGTATTAATTGGGAATTGGTGAGAATTTTGTCTGTTACTACCACGTGGTAAGGCCTCCATTAATGCATGATGATTGGCTTAGTACGTCCCCCATAGTGAGGGATAGGCCTTTTGGCTCCCTACGTCCCCCAGAGTGAGGGATAGGCCTTTTATGGCTCCTTACGTCCCCCATAGTGAGGGATAGGCCGGCTTCGGCTCCTGAAAATCCCCCAAAGTGAGGGATTTGGTTAATGGGATTTGCATCATTTCACTCGCATGATTTATTGTGGCTATCTTGTTATTATATTACTTGTGAACTGCCCCACTTGACACCTCACGAGCACCTATTTAGTAGTACCTAGTATTGGAAAGGTTGGTTACTGGGACTTAGTCTCACCCCGTGGTTTACAATGTTTTCAGGTGAAGGTTCCGTGGCCATGGAGACGCAGAGGCTTGAGCTCGGTTAGCTTTAGGCCTCTAGCATTTGTATATGTATGACTAGTATATATTGCCACATTTAGGACTGCTTTTTGATATATTTGATTACCCGGCCTTGTTGTAAACTGGAGAGAATGTATCTCCTTATTTTGGTTGGCCGGAGGCCATTGCTAGTGTTTGATGAACTCTGGATTATATGGTTGAAAACTATTTAGATGGGCTGATCTTGATGTATGTGTTACCCGGGCCGGAGGCTCGGAGGCCCAGTGGATATGAATGGATTATTTTAGTTGCATGCAACGTCTTACGGGTTGACCCGAGCTTGAAAGTCAATTTCTAAAAATATGAAATTTTCCTTCTACCATGGTAGCTCGTTTTAATAGCTCTCCTTTTCTACCATAGTAGAGGTTTTATGATGGGTTAAAATGTCTTGAGGTAGAGGGTTTTTACACCACCAGGGGCTATGAAGTTCTTGAAAAGATATCTAAATCAACAAACGAAGATATCAATAGAATAAATGTTCAAGTACTTAAGTATTTAGTTAAGGTTTTAACAAATACCTGATATAAAAGTTACAGGCATTTGTGCTGGCCATTCCATGCGTCAGAATCTCTTTCAATACTTCATTTGTGACATAATCTGACGAGGGTCAACCGTATACCTCTGGCTTAAACTCTAGGGGAATCATGAAATCCTCTCCATGTTCTAATCTGGCCCCAATTGCATATTCCTCAAGACATATTCGGAATCTTGATGATACCACTTGAACGGGCTCAGAGGGCTGCTTCTGTGGTGATGATAATGAGTGATCACCCAATAGGCTCTTCTTCCCCTTAGACTGACAAACAGACTGTTAGTAATTAAAATAGAGTTTATTTTAAATCAGCTGAATTTGTAGACCTATACATATATACCTTTGAAGGATGTCCTAATGTAAGAAGACGGCCAGGCCAAGCGACAAAGCTACCCACTGCTTGAGCCACTGTCTCTGCATTGGGGTGGGTATCGGAGGGCATAATTCGCATCAATAGCAATGTTCAACTGCACCCTCACATGATCAGCAGGGAGAGGAACATTATGAATTATACTCTCCCCCGGTAAATTGAACATGCGGCCCGTTGCAACAGTGTGATGTTTAGGGCTATCCGCCATACACTGAACGTCCGCTTCACCCTGATTTGTTTAACATGAGAGACAAGTTAGCTAGATATATAAATTATTGAATGTAATTATATAAACACAAGTATTATACCTCAGGTAGCAAGGGGAATGTGCAGCTGTCTTTGCCACTTGGGTTGAGATTTGGAGCTAGCTGTGGTGCTTGATTCTTGATCAACTGCTCGATTAGGAGCGCTTGCGCTTTAACTTGCTCCTTTAATCAGCGTGTTTCTTCCTTCAGCTCCATGAACTCAGCAGAGGAAGGCGTGCACGATGAAGAGGGCTTTTGTCGGTACCTAAAGTAATCTCTCTTGGTGACTCCATAACCGACGCCCCTAAGAAGACCAGGATGGTCAGGAGTCCCCAATGCCCTCCTCAATATATCCTGGTCATCTGCAGAATATGCCCCCTGCGAAACTTCCTGGGACAAACTCTCCTGTGCAACAAACATTGATATAGTTATTCATACTTAAAGATATTTGACAATAACGTGAAGATTATTTAATTTAGAATAATACTCACCATCCTGTCCACGACCTCCTTAACGCGAGGATTATCAATTTGGCAATCTTTATTTTGCCTGGCCAGTGCCCACAGCATCTGACGTGATACAGTGACATCTGATCCCTCCTGCTGTGTCACCTCTTGCTCAAGGCCCGCATAACCCAAGCGGCCCTTTCGGTAGGGATACTCATTCTTCTTTACTCTTTCCTTATTTTGGGAACTTAATTCCTGCAAAAACAAAGTAGATTCACAATTAAACAATATATAGATTAAACAAAATGGACTATTTAATATCAAAAAGAGCGAGGATTATTACTTGAAATTGCCTATCACGACATGACGTCACAAAAGCAGCCCAATCCTCTGGTTTGACCAAGTCCCGTATCAAGCTAGGAACCTGGGACTCGTCGGCTGTGGAAGGATCCTTCAAGTACTTGTGTGTGACAAAATATCGGAAAGAGCGTAGTGCCCTCCCAGCCTTCCCCTCCATAAACCTCTTCCTGCTCTCATCTATATCAAATGCAGACTGCAAAACATATAAAACAACACATTAGTGTCACGCAGCTTGTAAGAAAACGAAATTTGAGTTATAATATATTACCGATACATCTGTCCAAATAGTGTCTCGCACTGAACGATCAACCCTCCTCCAGTGCTGCGCTGTAATGGGCACAGTGCTTCGTGCCACTGCCCCAATATAGCTGATAAATTTATTTGACCGTATAGCTTGTCCTTTCTTATTCCACTATACGGCAAATTTCTTTCCTTCTGTTCGAGCTTTCACGACCTCTTGCATGACACAAAGGCCCCTCTGTATGCGTGCTGCCTCCTCTTGCAACTGTCTCTCCTGCTCAGAGGCATCTCTCGGTTGAGATGGGTTATCAGTGCTAGATCCGCTATCGTCTGCCATCTGCAATGAAATTGAAGTAAACAAAATGAATCAGAATCCATTAAATGAAAATAAAGTCATTAATGACGAAATTTATTTGAACAAAATTAAAACAAATAAAAGAATCAAAGAAAATAATGAGAGAATTTACATGCATGTTTAAGATCTTTTTCTTTTTCTACTCTTATGTTTTTGCATGTTCTTCTTGGTTTGAATTGTTTTGATCTTCTTACGAAACACTTTCCCCCTCTTTGAAATCCATATTCCGTCGTTGTAATCATGCCTGACATACATGGATTGATCTTCATTTAAATGAGAATCAAGTGAGGCCCCTTGAAATGGATCATCTTCAATTGCATTGTCTTCATACCCCGTCTCTTCAATATCCATTTTATTAGTCAACAAAATAATAGACCATCCTTTGGCAGCTGGGTCAGGGACATAAAACACTTGCGTAGCCTGAGAAGCCAAAATGAATGGCTCTTCCTTGTATCCTTCTTTATTCAAATTCAATTGTATAAACCCTAAGTCATCAATCCTCAATGCATTATTATTATCCACCCATTTGCAACCAAATACTGGAACTCTGAATTCAATGTAATCCAACTCCCAAATATCCTCAATCACTCTAAAGTATGACATACGTGCATAGATAGGATTTTTATCTTTGGCACTTGATATATGCATGGTACTAGCTACAAGAGTTATGCCACTATTTTGCTGTTTACTCCGATCATCTTGTTGTTTAGTATAGAAAGTGAACCCATTCATAAGGTAGCTTGTGAAAGAAATCACATGTTTGCTCGGTCCATCTGCCAACAACTTTAATTTCTTCGAAACAGAATTAGGATCATTATTATACTTGCCATGCATATGCTCTCTCAACCATGCTGTAAATTATTTATTGTGTGTTTTGGTGTACCAACTTTCAAGTTTATTGGGATTATCCCTCTTTAGCTCATCAATATGCTCATGCACATAGTCCTCAATCTCTTCGGAGTTGTGCAATACATATAGATGTGCCTGCTCCCACTGTTGGTTTGAAATAGTTATGACTTTCTTTCCCATAATCCCTTCTCCATCTGTCCTTCCCTCATGATGAGACATTGGAACCCCAATATCACTTGCATTTTTTAAGTAATGGGTACAAAATTCAGTAGCCTCTTCACAAATATATCGTTCTACAATACAACCCTCTGGCCGACTTCGATTTTTCACATACCCTTTCAATATTTTCATGTAACGCTCAACTGGGTACATCCATCTTAAATACACTGGGCCACACAGTTGGACCTCTCTAACTAAGTGGATGGTTAAATGGACCATGATGTCAAAAAAGGCCGGAGGAAAATACATTTCAAGTTCACATAACGTAACTATGATTCGGGTTTGCAATCTTGGCAATTTACTAGGATTAATCACTTTGCTGCAAAGAGACTTAAAGAAGAAACATAACTTTGTGATCGTAACTCGTACCTTATCAGGTAAAATAGCCCGTATTGCCACTGGAATAAAGTTTTCCATTAAGACATGACAGTCATGAGATTTTAAACCTTTTAACTTCATATCCTTCATTGACACAAGGTTACTAATGTTAGAAGAGTAACCTTCCGGTACTTTTACTGAAGCAAGAAACTCACAAACACTACTTTTCTCTTTTCTAGAAAGGGTATGAGCTGCCGGACGAAGAAATGTACGAGTTCCCTTATCCTCTGGTGCCAATTCCTCCCTTATCCCCATTTCAACCATGTCTAGCCTGGCATTTATGCCATCTTTAGTCTTCCCGAGAATATGGAGTAATGTGCCAAACAGACTTTCACATACGTTTTTCTCAATATGCATAGCATCAAGAAAATGTCTCACATTCAGGGTTATCCAATACGGCAGTATAAAGAAAATAGACCTCTTCTTCCACCCACTTGTCCCAACATGCTTCGCGAAAGGTTTTCCAAATTCACAATCTATATCTTTCACCTTTTGAAATACATCCTCCCCAATCAATGGTGTTGGTGCCTTACCTTCTTCTGAATTCCCATTAAAATATTTTTTGAATCGCCGGTAAGGATGATCACGATGCAACCATCTACGATGTCCCATATATGAATTTTTCATTCCATGCTTCAACCTTATGGAATCTGTGCTCTCTTCACAAATGGGACAACCAAGTTGTCCTTTAATGCTATACCCTGAGAGATTACCATACGCAGGAAAGTCGTTAATTGTGCCAAATAACATAGCTCTCAACTTGAATTTTTCTTCCTTATATGCATCATATACATCAACTCCATTCTCCCACAATACTTTCAAGTCTTCAATTAATGGAGCTATATATATATCTATATCATTTCCCGGTTGCTTTGGCCCAGAGATTATCATAGACATCATTGAATACTTGCGTTTCATGCATAGCCATGGAGGAAGGTTATATATAAACAAAATCACTGGCCATGTGCTATGGGTGCTGCTTTGCATCCCATAAGGGTTCATCCCGTCGGTGGCTAATGCAAGGCGTAGATTTCTATCTTCTTCCCCGAATTCAGGATACTCAATATCAAACTTCTTCCATTCTGGAGAATCAGCAGGATGGCGAAGCATGCCATCTTTAACCCTTTCATCTGCATGTCACCTTAAATTTTTCGCATCTTCTATATTACTATACAAGCGTCTGAATCTTGGCACTATGGGAAAATACCATAATGCCTTCTTCGGGCTTTTCCCATTCTCTTGGTAGCGTGATGCATTACACTTAGGACACTCAATTAGTGACTTATACTCCTTCCTAAACAAAATGCAATCATTGGGGCAAGCATGTATCTTCTCATAGCTGAGGCCGACAGAGCGCAACATTTGCTTTGCATCATACGTTTTACTTGGAAGCTCATTTTCTTTTGGTAGCATTTGTTTAACAAGCAACAGCAGTTCTGTGAAGCCTGTGTCGCTCCACCCATTTCTTGCTTTCAAATTATACAGTTTCAACACTACAGACAATTTTGTGAAATCAGTACAACCTTCATAGAGGTGTCTCAGCATCACACTTCAATCTATCAAACATTTCAGGACAATCGTCAAGTTCCCGTTCAATCGCATCTGT